GGTGCGGGTGTGGTGTGGGGGGTGCGGGTGCGGCTGTGGCTGTAGGTGTGGGTGTGGGTGTGCCATGGTCAGGAGGGAGACGCGGGGGTCAGGGTCAGAGGGACAGGGTTTGGATGCTGGCTCTGCCCCTTTGCAGCTGAGTGACCCCTTAAGCCACCCACCCGCAAAAGGGGGCGACGTGAGAGTTCACCTGGGAAGGGGTGAAGAGAGCTAAGCAGGGGAGGCAGCAGGCCCAGCCCACAGGCTGCTGGTGAGTGCCAGCTGCGGTGCTCCTCTCATTGGTATTTATAAGACCTTAGAAAAGGGTGGCCCGCCCCTTTAAAAACATCTCCAGGGTGCTTCTTGCGTCCCTCATCATTGCACGGTTTTCACATTAGCTAAAAAAAAGGTGTTTGTTTTTTCCCTAGGGTTCCCACTCCCACTTGAGACATCGGTGGCTGAATTAAAACAGTAACAGCCGTGAACTTCTGTAAGGTGTGTGTGTGTGTGTGGGGGGGGGGGGGGTGTGCCTCTGGCACTGGGAGCAGCGCCGGGCCCGCAGCCAGGGAGCCCTGCCTGACCCCCCAGCTCAGCCACACGCTGGCCCCGGGGCCCGTCCCCACTCGAGGCGACAGGAGTGGAGGGAGCACCTCTGATTGGGGCCTGTGATGTCCCTGCTGTTCCCTCCAGGCTGCCGGCGCCAGCAGAGAGGGCGCACCCTCTGTGACCGTGGCCCTGACCGGAGGCCGCTGGGACTGACCGCCTGGCTCTGAGTCACTCATGTCTCAGTCTGGTCACTGTCACAGGTCTGTGTCGCCCACATAATGGGAGACTGGGGGACGGGCATCAGGAAACAAAATAAAGACTTGAAGAGCGCCCTGGCCGGTTTGGCTCGGTGGACAGACATCAGCCAGCAAACTGAAAGGTCCCAGGTTTGATTCCGGTCAAGGGCACAGGCCCGGGTTGTGGGCTCGATCCCAAGTGGGGGGCGTGCAAGAGACAGCCGATCCTTGATTCTCTCTCATCACTGATGTTTCTCTCTCTCCCTCTTCCTACCTCTCTGAAATCAATAAAAGCAATTAAAAAAAATTAAAAAAGACTTGAGGAGCTTTGGGGAAATGGGAAGGAGAGAGGCAGGAAGGTGATGGTCTCCGTGTCTAAGAGACTAAACAGTGGGCACTGGGAAAACACCCAGCCCAGACGCTCCCCCAGGAGGCCTCCCAGAGGCTGAGGGGGAGGACTGGCGGATGGGAACTGGCCTGGAAGCCAGGCGGGACGATGCAGGGACCACTTTGCCAGCAGCCTGGGCTTCCACAGGACCCACCCCAGGCTCCACAGCCCCGGGGGGGAGGGGCCCCAGGCTCACAGGCTCCACAGCCCCGGGGGGGGGGGAGGGGAATGACACCCCAGGTTCACAGGCTCCACAGTCCTGGGGCGGGGAGAGGGGACCCCAGGCTCACAGGGCGCAGGGCCCACACGGAGCAGCCCCTGCGGTCTCCTTGATGTGAAGACGGAGGAGGTGTGGTCAGAGTGAGGCGGTCTGACCCATAAGCCATGACCCGCGCGTTTCATCAGGCCTCGCCTTTGCAATAGATCCCCAGCTGTGAGGCCAATGGGGAGTCCTGTGGTCAAACAAGGCGTTTCCATGCCGGCGCCTGGCCGGGCCGCGCCCTGGGCCCCCGTGGGGCTGAGTGTTCTCTGTCCGAACGCTGTGGGTGGGGAGGTGCGCCTTGCGGCCGTGAGGACGTCAGGAAAAGGCCTCTTCGCCCACGGGTGGCTTCGAGAGCCTCCCCAGGCTCAGCCTGCCGACCACTCAAAGCGCCTCTGTGCAGGGAGGATGTGCAGAACCTTCTGGAAGGTCTAGATGTCGGCCATGTGGGGGAGCCTGACCCTCCTGCCTGGCCCCCAGCCTTTGAGGTGCGGCTGTGCGTGTGTCCGGGGCAGTGGGCGGAGGGTGCCCAGGGCCAGGCCGGGCTCCCCTCCCGGGAGGAGGGGCTGTGACCGGACCGTCTGCCCTTTCCCACCGCCCTCCTGGGATAGGGAGGCTGGGAAGGGCCGAGGTGAGAGCACCTGCCAGCGGCCCCACCCGGTCATCCGTCCGATCTTGATAAGCCGGGGTGGAGAGCTTAAAGGGAAGGTGATAAGCGGGAAGCTTTGTGTCTGTGACGGCAGGGCCGCCCGAGCCCCGGGGACCGCCATCGAAGCCGGTGGAGACTCTGTGGTGTCAGGAAAAGGGACCTCTGTGTGTGCGTATGCGTGTGTGTTTGTGTGTGCGTGTATGTGTTTGTGTGTGTGTGCGCATGTGTGTGCCTGTGTGTGAGTGTGTGTTTGTGCACACACACGTGTGTGTGCGCATGTGCGTGCATGTGTGTGTGTGTGTGTGTGTGTGTGTGTGTGTGTGTGCTTGGCGGCTCCAAAGTCCCTGCCAGGCAATCGCACGTCCTGTGTGTTAACGACACGGACTTTCCATCATCACAGCTCACACCCGCGAGGCAGGTTGCGGTGATGCCCGCCTTCTGATAAGAAGGCCGCACGACCACTCCCTCTTCCCGGGGAGGGCTGACTGCCCGGCTCACCCAGGTCAGACACCTGCTCAAAGCCCGTGGAACACGAATTCAAGAGTTACGATTCCAGGTCACAAGTTTTGAAAAGCAGATCTTTAAACACTGAGCGTATACTTCGGCAGAGAAAGAGTGGGGATCTCAGGAAAAGGAAACGGAACAGCGGCCCCCAGTTCTCATCTGCGTCCTGCGCCTGGATGCTGGGCTCACGACGGCGCGTCTGAGCGGACCGGCCGAGGGGTCAGCGCCCCGCGGCTCCTGCTGCCTGGCAGGGCCCAGCCCCGGGCTGTGGTTCTGGCGTTAATAAGGGGGCCCTCCGTGTGGAGGGTTACCGAGCCCTTTGCAAACAGAGGGAAGCTGTCAGTGTGCCAGGATGGGGCCTAGCATTTCAGCAGCTCACACACAGCCGAGGCGGGGCCCTGGGTCAGGTGACCCTCAGGCTCCCTTCAGCGCCGACACCCTGCCCTCTGAGGGTCTAGCGGGAGGGCATCGCACCCCTCCTCACCCCTCCACAGCTGGCCACTCCCCAGGGCTAAGGGGACAAAACAAGACAGACTTCCTGTCCCCCCCCTCCCCCCAAGTTGGCCTGCAGGAAATCACCGTCATCTCTGTTCACACTGTTTGTGGTTCTTCCTTTCTTCATACACACACACACACACACACACACACACACACACACACACACATTTATTTCAGAGAGGAAGGGAGAGGGAGAGAGAGAGAAACATCCATGACCAGAGAGACTCATTGATCGGCTGCCTCCTCACGCCCCCTACTGGGGATCGAGCCCACAACCAGGGCCAGTGCGCTGACCGGGATTGAAACGTCACCTTCTGGTTCATAGGTCAACGCTCAACCACTGAGCCATGCTGGCCGGGCTTTCTTTTCTTGAGGAAGTTAGTTTTGGTTTATTTGAGATGGATGCAAAACAATAGATGATTTTTAAAAGATGGGAGGAGAGACTTCTTAGATTAAAACTACAATTAGCCGAAACCGGTTTGGCTCAGTGGATAGAGTGTCGGCCTGTGGACCGAAAGGTCCCAGGTTTGATTCCTGTCAGGGGCATGTACCTTGCTTCCAAGCACATTCCCAGTAGGGTGTCTGCAAGAGGTAGCTGATCAACGTCTCTCTCTCATCGGTGTTTCTAACTCTATCCCTCTCTCTTCCTCTCTGTAAAAAATCGATAAATTAAAAGAACAAAACAAAAAACCTGCCATTAGCTGTCCGTCTAAGGTGCGAAGACCTGGTGCCCAGGAGCCCCTCCCTCCTGGCGCCCTCTGGGAGCTGCCAGGCCGGGACAGTGCCCGCAGCCAAGGTGCCCGGCGGACCCATGAGTCAGGCAGGCATTTCATGAGTGTCCACGTCCCTGATTTTCTCAGATGGATGTGCCAAGCAGGCCCGTCCAGAGAGGCCGGGCCCCCCAGCCCGTCCTGGGAAAACAGGACACAGTGGCTTATCGGGGAGGGGAAGGGAGTCTCAGATCTCCACCCCGCCGGCAGGAGGGAACAATGCGCCGCGGAGAACAGACAAAGGCGTCCCAGGTGGCCGGGAGCTGGCTGTCACCCCGTTTGCGTTCACGCTCATGAGCTGACATCACCGACATCTGAGGTGTGTTTCCTGGTTGGGAGCGGATCCAGCCCTGGAGTTATCCTGCCCTGGAGGTGGGTAACGGCACCCTTCCCTGGGCCAAGTGCGTTCCACACGCTGTCACTGATCGTGTAGGGCAGTGGTCGGCAAACTCGTTAGTCCATGGAGCCAAATATCAACAGCACAACGATTGAAATTTCTTTGGAGAGCCACATTTTTTAAACTTAAACCTTCTCCAATTTTCTGCTTACTTAATAGAAAACATTATAAGCAAAATGAGTTAGAATTATATTGTAATCAATTTAACAGGAAATATAGTATAGTCAGAAACTGAAGATTTTCCCAATGAGGGCACATACCTAGGTTTTGAGTTTGATCCCCAGTCAGGGTGCATATGGGAAGTAAGCCTTCTCTCTCCTCTGCCCCCCTCTCTCTTTGCCTCTGTCTCTCCAAATCAATAAACATATACTGGGGCGAGGATTAAAAAAGAAAAAGAAAAAAAAGATAGCTAGGGTGAAATCTTCAGAGGTTATCGTTAATTCCATGTTGTAGAATGCATCATGAAAAACCCCATGGCATTCAAAACTGTCTCGGCCTTTCCACAAATAGCAAAGTGTTTGCTTAAACGCAGAAACCGACAGTGATTCAACGCAGGACACAGTGACAGGCTGAACTCTGTGTGCATCTCTGTGTCCACATATGTGACGGCACAGACTTCTTAGTTGCTAGGCAAAGGTGGACCACCAAAGACACAGCAACCTACAAAGCAAAGCAAATGACTGACAATCAAAATTAGTTTCGGCTTTTGTCATGAACGTGTCTCACAGGGTACGGCAAGAGCACTAGGTTCTCACGTTTCCAGAGACCAAAGACTCCGGCTTTCCGAGCACTTTAATCCGGGACAGAGCCAGAACAGACAGGAGAATGATAAAAACATTCCTTCAGACATAAGGAGTGCTCAGACTTGAGTTTTGGTATTCCCCCCCCCCCCCACTGCAGGTATTGTGGACACTGGTCATTTCCAAAACACAAATCCTGGCCTGGGAACTCAGAGAGGGATTTTGCGGTCTCTGCCCGAATGAGAAGCTGGTAAGAAACGTACTTATAAAGTATGCTTACAACACAAAGCAATACGCCCGCTCGCTGCCATGTGCTTCCTCGCCCACCAGGCTTGGCACTGGCCACCGGCACCTGCCATGGGTGACCCTGCGACACTGTCTGGAGCCCTGCGTTCTCCCAGGGCTGCTTTCTGTCCAGTGAACCCTGAGGATGCCCAAAGCGGGCGACTGTCCAGGGCGGTGACCAAGGACAGTGAGGAGAGCCACCGTCAGAGCTCAGCCTGCACACTGTGTTCCGGAGAACAGCCTTAGCCACCGGCGTCACAGCTCCGGGAACCTGTGCTCCCACCAACGGGAGCTCCTCTCCTGCAGGGGCCTCCCTGCACCGCGGCCCCCGGTGCACATGTGGATGGAGCCTGCTGCCATTCATGCTGCCGATGCCATCCTGCTCAGCCGTGTGGGTCCTCAGCAAGAACGAGGACGGACTAGAAACTCACAGAGTTCGTGTTTCACATTTTATAAAATTAAACCTGCTCCCACAGGGACAGAGGGAGGCATGCTCGCAACCTCTGGATTCAAGCGGAAGCAAGGCCCGAGGGCACCCAGCCTTCTCCGTGGGTAATGGCGGGGTCCTAAGGCTTCCTCCCTCGCACGGGGTCCTGGCACGGGGTCCTGGCACGGGGTCCTGGCATGGGGTCCTTGCTCCGGGTCCTTGACGGGGTCCTGGCACGGGGTCTGGTATGGCCACAGGAGCCCTCTGCTGCGTGTCTCATTTATTCCTAAAGGCCTGGGCTCGGGCAGCTGCCAGCACTTCATCATCCTGCCTGTTGACAAAAGGAACAACAACTGGTCACCACCGGTCAGTGGAATCACTCTCCTGGTGTTTGTGTGTGTTTCTCTCCCCGAGACAATTCCCACAGAGGAGCCGGTGTCCATGCAGCAGCACGCGTTCCTGTGTCTGATGAGGTCCGTGCTCTGCAGGCCTCATCTTCTTCCGGGGGAGCACAGAGCAGCAGGGAGCAGGGAGCACGGAGCACGGAGCAGGGAGCACGGAGCAGGGAGCAGGGAGCAGGGAGCAGGGAGCAGGGAGCAGGGAGCAGGGAGCACCGGTCCATCTCCCCTAGGCTGGAGCGGCGTGGAGAGACCCTGTCCCAGACACCAGGATGCCCAGGCTCCCGATGCGACTCCACCAGGAACTGAGGTCCCTTGGCCTCGCTGGCAGCTCCTTCACACACAGACAGGCTAAGAGGACGTCCCTGGACGAGGCCCGAAAGGGGAGGCCAGTCCGACCCCAGCGATGGCCTCCTGCAGCCCTGCCTCACGGTGCCGCTTACGGAACCTGCGCGGGGGCCCTGGCGTCCCAGCTCCGCCGGGGGCTGAGAGCCATGACTGCCGGGAGCTCACAGCATCGTCCCCTCTGCCGGCCACCGCCATCTCCTCCGATGGCGCCGGGACGAAGTCCCGGACACACAGTTCTGAAGACGCACACTCCTACGTCTCTCACTGTTAAGACCTAAGCATGCCATGTGTTTGCTGCCTGCTTGTTTCTGTGAGTTAGGAAGTAATGCTCTAACGCACATGTGTCAAACACAAGGCCCGCGGGCCAAATCCGTCCTGCCAGGCCTTGCAATGTGGCCCGCACCACGCTGTCATCACTGCACTCCGCTGCGTTTCCATCACAATGACAGTTTATGACTGTTCAGTAAACCATTCGGCCCGCAATTTAGGCTGGATTTTAGATTTTGGCCCCTTCTCTGATTGAGTTCGACACCCCTACTCTAACGCCTAAAAAGCACAGCAGTACCCTGACATGGAAGCCGCATGGAAGAGCAGGCGACACAGCCATGAAGGTCAACAGGTTTAAGTAATGATGTCCAGGACCTTTGCCAAGTCATGCATCTGGGAAGCACGGCGGGGGTCTACACCCAGGAAGTCTGACGCTGGAACGGGTGCGCTCACCATTATGCTACCCGCCTGCCTCGTGTTACGTGGCACTGACCAGGCCTCTGACTCCCGGCCAGCGCTCCTGCTCCTCAGCTAGTGATCCTGGTAAAGGGGGACTCCTCACTCACTATTACCACCCGCCTCCTCCGCCTGGTCTGGTTCCTGCAAGACAGACGGACAGCCCCCCGGAAGCAGCTGAGGCCCGGAGGAGCGCCCTGCCCGGTGCTCCTCCCACGGCGACACCCTGCAGGAGTGTCCCACGCCACGTGGCCCACCTCGAAGCGCCACAGAAGCCCACGGGCCACGGAGAGCTCGGCCGGAGCGCCGGGCGAAGCAGCACCCCCGCTCCCGGGGGCTCAGTCGTTGTCACCAGGCGCCCCCCACAGCGCTGCCAGGCTGTCACGCCGTGAGAAGCAGGAGGCCCACACCCCACGTGTCCGTGAGAAAGGGCCCAAAGAATCAGACTGAACTAACAGAGACCTGGCGGGGCCTGGGAGTGAGGGTCACTCCTGGCGGTGGAGAGTGGGAAAGTTCCAGAACCAGTTGTCTGCAGCTGCAGGTGCCATCGCGGTGCGTTCGCTGCGGCTGTCTTTCCCGGGCGCCGCGGGGGCAGTCATTCCTGGGAAACGGGCACAGGCGAGGGAACACGGGCAGGCACCCCTGACAGCGGTCACCCACTGGGGCTCCGTCCCCAGGGACTGACCCGGCTCCCCACTCCGCACCCACGGCCCCGCCAAGCAGAGGGTGGGAGTCCCACCCTGCAGGGGAGGGACAGGGGGTTCAGGGGAGTCAAAAGCCCAGCCAGGGGGACACAGACAGAAAGCGGCCACAGCCGGGTTCCCGGCTAAGCGTGCCGGGCCCCTGAGTTCTCTGCCTTTCCTGCCACAGGGATCCCCCCAGCGTCCTGCACCGGCACACACGTGGGCAGCCACCCTGGCAGTGACCCTGAGCAGGACCACAGAGGAGGCCACCTGCTCTCCAGGCAGCCACGGCGTCCCTGGCTCCCACAAGCCCAGGGCCGGGGGGAGCGGCCCGGCTTCTCCATTAATTGCATGGTCGCAGGAGGGGGAGAGGGGGAGAGAGGGACCAGCAGAGCCCGCCCCCTCGGAGAAAGAGCCACAGCCCGCAGGCTGCAGGGAGAAACAGGAACTTGCTGACAGCCTGCAGGCGTCTGTGGCCTGTGCACAACTTTCCTCCCTAAGCACATGTGTCTGACCTCCACATGGCCTACCAGCAGGCCAGACACTGCCCCAGCCCCAGGCGCCACCTCTGCATCACAGGGTAGAGAGAAAGGCCGGAGGACGCCTGGGGAGACGGAATCAGGAGGCTTGGGCCCCTTTGAAATTGATTAACCTCCTTCCTTCCTCCCTCCCTCCCTCCCTTCCTCCCTCCCTCCCTTCCTCCCTCCCTTCCTTCCTTCCTTCCTCGGTTAACCTCTCCTGCTGGCTGGGACTCCTCTCCAGAGGAGGACAGAGAGAAAACGTCCCAGGTGACCTGTCCCAGCACCAAAGCCACGGAATTCATCACCAGGGCCCCGCGAGGAGGTGACGGGCTGTTCCAGGAACACGGGGCTGCCCAGCCCTCTCAAAGCCAAGCCTGGGGCCCTGCCCTGCCAGGCGGAGGGGGAGCCAATGGCTCCTGGTGCCAGGCCCCATCTGCGCCTCCAGCTGGTCCACGCGGCCGGCCGTATGGGAGCAGGAAGGCTGGTGCAGACAAGCGTGGACCGGTGTGTGCACGCGATCCAACAGCATCTGTGAGTGTTTGTTGTCCTGTAGTTAAACACCCACTCACGATGGGGGAGGGACGGCCTGCTTGATCGAAGCACTGAGGCCAGGCCCCGGGGAGGACCCAGGACGAGGATGCTCAGACAGAGGCACTGATTTGCTTTTAGGGAAGCTTATCTCTGTGACGGGGGACAGCCAGGCCCCTCTGTGAGGCAGACCATGCTCTGCTTCCCGGACCGCACGTGGGTTGTGCCTATAATCTCTGAGATTCCCTAGAAAAGCTAGTTAGTGCCAACAGGATTGAAAGAAGGGTATTTGTGCTAAGGCAGACCTTGGGAATGACAGGACACAACATTCCCATTTTAAATGATAGAAAATCAAAGCTCGGAAGCTTCACACTCCCCCGTGGGCACACAAAGATGGAAAATCTAGATGATCTGCTATCTCGTCCCACAATATACTCTTTGCTGTACACCGAGTTATAACGCCAGGTTATTATGATCTCTGAACGCATAATAATCTGACCACTCAGTGTGTGTGTGTGTGTGTGTGTGTGTGTGTGTATGTGTATATTGGAGACCTGGTGCATGAATTTGTGCATGAGTGGGCTTGGGCCAGCATAGCCAGGGGAAGGGGACATGGATGGTTGGCTGGCCTGCCTGGTGGTCAAACTCCTGGTTGAGGGGACAATTTGCATATGAGCCTTTTATTCTTACAGTATACACTGAGTGGCCAGATGATTATGCGTTCAGAGATCATAATAATCTGGCCACTCAGTGTATAACATCCCTTTCATTTAATTCAAACATTTCCCATATTAAATCCTGGAAAATTGTGCCACTTGGTATGAATGGTCCCAACAGAACAGACTCTGGACCACAGTGGACTGAGCAGCTTCAAAGGCGCTGAAGCCAATCCCGTGGGAGCAGGTGGAGGAAGGCGCAGGCCCAGAGCTGGTTCCAGCCCGCAGTCAGGCCCCGAGCCCCGGGATCTCATTTGGCTCCGTGGTAGGTGTGCAGCCCGTGGGTCAGTGAGCTTCCTCAGCTGTAAACTGGCGATGGGTACCACTGCTGAGGCCGATGCGGGCATTCAGGCAGGGGCATGGATGATGTAGGCTGTAGCACGTGGACATTACACGTCCAGCATGACTCACCAATGCTCAGGGGACAGGAAGCAGGCGGGAGTTTGCCATTCCCTCTGCCCGCCTGCTGTTCCCTCTCCTCTCTACCGGGAGGGCGCTTGGCTGCCTTCTACGTGGCAGAGGCCCAGGCAGCAGCCTGCCTGACCCACACCCGGCACAGCCTGTCCTTTCCCGAGACCGCGGGCTCTCTGAGATGACTGAGTGACTGAGTGACCGAGGCGCACGGCCCCCACCTCCTCCTGGATCAGGGGGTCGGGGATTCTGCTGGCCACAGACTCTACTCCCCTCCGGCCAGCCCAGAGACAGGATCCTTCCCTTCCTGGCCATGCACCCCACCCCAAACCAAACTGCCCTGTCCTCCCTCCCCCTCCTCCTCCAACATTCCTCTCTACAGGCCGTTCCCATTCGCAGGAGAGAATCCCCACAAGCGGCTAGGAATCTATATATTTTATAAATGTACGCACACCTCTATATATTTTTACACGTGAGAACTTATGCCTTTGTAGAGGTACCAGAAAAAAAAAAAGAAAAGAAAGAAAGAAATGAATTGCTCTTAACAGCTCACATATGCCCTGACAAGTCTGCACGCTGACACCTGCACCTTGGGATGGTTGGTGGGAGGGAGGTGAGAAGCAGACAGAGAAAGGGGGAGCAGACAGAGAAAGGGGGAAGGGGCTGCAGGCACTCGGTCCCATTCCCTCTGCCAGCCCAGGCCAGGCATCTCTGCTGACACGCCCTCCTGCACCCACCCTGAGCTGCCTGAGTCTGGAGGGGAGTCTAGTTCCCCAAAGCCTTCTGTTTACCTCCCAACCTAATCTACTTCTACACGGGAACGGACATGATTAATGTGTGTGGGTACAGGGTGAACCTAGCCCACCGGCCTCAGCATACTTGTTAACTAACCAAGGTGAACACTTGGGAGTGTGTTACTACCCTGTTTCCCCGAAAATAAGACAGTGTCTTATATTAATTTTTTTTCTCCCAAAAAATTAATATAAGTCTTATATTAATATAGGTCTTATTTTCGGAGGATGTCTTATTTTCGGGGAAACACGGTAAACATGTTCCAACCACGCTCACGTGTTGTCTGAGCACCGTGCACCCCTCAGGCTCCCACACCGCACATGTGGTCTTGCAGGAGCCTGGACCAGGCCCCGGCACGCTGAGCTGAGCGGCCCCTCCAAGGTCAGAGGCGATGACAGCGTCAAGGGCTGCATCGTGGACTCTCTTTCAAAAGCTGCGTTCAACCCACATGATCTTCAGATAAAGTCCCAGTTAATTTAAACAGCTTAACTCTAAGCCAGGCAAGTCTGCCAGGAAGTGAGCCGCCTGCAGCCTTCGGTACAGAGAGGAGCATCTTTGCTCCATTGGCCGGTTCCGGACGTGGACACGCATATCCACAGCTTTTAAAATGATAGAGATCCACGGGCTGGCAGCTGGCTGCAGTAATCCCAGAATCTGAAAAAAAACCTGTAGGTGCATCTGCTGCCAGTTCCGAGTTTCTGCCGCCAAAGGCCCATCTGGTGACAGCGCGCTGTCTCCAATGAACGGACAGAGGAAGTTCCATCGTCATGCTTCAGGAGCCGAGCCAGGATTTTCTGGGATTCGCTTATAGGAAGCGTCATCATCGTTTTGCTTTTTATAAATCTTTTGTATCTACGGTTAATAAGCAAGCTGTCCTAAGAAATGTTTTGCTTGACTTTCTAAAAATGCTTCAGCGAGAGACTCTTTCAACTCTCCGCACCTGATTAAAAACTTCTCAAAAACATGTCAAATTGCTGAAACCGGTTTGGCTCAGTGGATGGAGCGTCGGCCTTCGGACTGAAGGGTCCCAGGTTCGGTTCCAGTCAGGGGCATGTGCCTTGGTTTTGGACACATCCCCAGTAGGAGGTGTGCAGAAGGCAGCTGATCGATGTATCTCTCTCATCAATGTTTCTAGCTCTCTATCCCTCTCTATAAAAAATCATTAAAATACATTTTTTTTTAAAAATGTCAAACTACCGCCACGTTATATTTTTACATCTCCCCTTTTCTCAAGACGATGCCGTTCCCCTTTGTGTTTTGCCCTCAGCAAACTTGGAACGGGCCTTGACCAAGGTTCACCGTCCCAATGAGGTTCCTTTGGCGTTCACAGGCTCGCCATGGCCCCCTCCCCGGCCCGTCTTCAAAAATCACGAGACTAACCTTCCTCAGAAGCCTCTCAGCCGCCAGACCTGGATCCCGGGAGTCCCACGCACCGCGGGGCACACACTTGGTTTCCACACTCTCCTGCCTTCTGTCACTATCACACCCGGAGCTTCTAACGGACGGCAGCATGCCACTGCTCTAGCACCCAACACAGGGCCTGGCCACTCAATCATCTGTTGGGTGAACAAATAAACAACGCCTAAAGCCAAACTGATGACCAGTATGATGCGCTCATTCTTTATTGTTAACGCTTCTCGTTCTCTACTATGTCAAATAACAATGCAGGACATTGGAAAAATCTTCGGTAATTCCTTTTTTTTTCTCCCCCCCCCACTTGCAAACTAAAAGGATGGTAGAACAAGTCTCAGGTGCTGGCATTTCCCGCCTCGTCCTATAGCTTTTGGTTTAGGAATCGTAGGCTCTTAGACTATAAATTTCATGGGTATGGATCTAATGTCTTCTTCCACCTCCTCCCAACTATAAAACCAGCGCAGTGTCACATACGAGCACCCAACGGTTATTTCGGGGGAGGCCTAGGAGGCTGGGCAGGACTCTTTACTTTCCTTTGAATGGAAAGAAAAAAAAAAAAAGGAGAGAACAAAGCAGAGTTAGAGATGCGTGAACACACAAAACACCATTTTACTGCCATCAGCACAGGCACAGAGTGACTACTGGAGCCTGGGGTGTGCTTTCCCCTGGAGGGAGTGAATCTTTCTGAGACGCGGAGCCAGGCCGCCCCGCACCGGTGGCGGGGACAGCGTGTCCAGTGGGAGGGCCGTGGGGAGCCCCCCAGGGAACCGGCTATTTGGCCTCCGGGGCAGTCAGCGGTCGGAGGCTCACAGCTCCTGTGTGACGCTGGACCCAGGGAGCTAGTTAGACACCGGAATCCTTTTGACCAGTCCTGGGACTGCCCATACCAGTACCGGTGGGCACTGGGTCAGTTTCACTGCTTTTGACCACCAGGTTGGGATGTATGCTACCAGGACAGTATAACTAGTTCCCACTGACAGGCGCAGTGGGCACTTGGTGTCTGCCTGGCATTTCCTGAATGAGTGGCTTCCTGCTAAGTCCTTAACCCCCAGAAGGAACAAAGCTTTACTTTGGGTCGCCATGATGGGCCCCTCTGTCCTTGTCACGCGGACTCCACCACCAGAAGCTGAATGCTGACACGCTGCTGCATGTCACAGCCCTGGCAACGCTGGGCTCACCAAAGCGACGTGGCTAAGGGTACGTTTACAGAGCCTGCGCCAGCACTGACTCCGGAATAGTCACCTGTGTCCCCTGTGATCGCAGGCAGGTGCACAGTGCCTGCTTTCTGGGTGAGAAGAATATGGGGCAGGAGCAGAGCCAGGAACTGAACCCCACCCAACCTTCAGAGACCCCATACTCTGTCCCAGCCACCAGGATAACCCAGAACCCGTGTGACAGCCGCTAGCAGGAATGCCTCTTCCCCGTTTTTGATGGCTAGGAAACGAATTAAAATTAAATACTGCATCCTTGCCTCGAACTAGAGGCACCATGGCTCAAACACTTTTTGGAAAGCAAGCAGAATAAGGAGCATTCCCTTTTCCTCTAGAATAGGGGTGTCGAACTCAATCAGAGAAGGGGCCAAAATCTAAAATCCAGCCTAAATCGCGGGCCGAATGGTTTACTGAACAGTCATAAACTGTCATTGTGATGGAAACGCAGTGGAGTGCAGTGATGACAGCGCGGTGTGGGCCACATTGCAAGGCCTGGCGGGACGGATTTGGCCCGCGGGCCTTGTGTTTGACACATGTGCTCTAGAACCATGATCAGCAAAATGAGGCTCTTTGGCCCCTGGAGTGTGGCTCTTCCACAAAACACCACGGCCTGGGCGAGTCTATTTTGAAGAAGCAGCGTTAGAAGAAGTTTAAGTTAAAAAATATTTGGCTCTTAAATTTAAATCGTTGTCCTGTAGATAGTTGGCTCTGTGGACTGATGAGTTTGCAGGCCACTGCTGTAGGACAATATGAAGATGGCACTGCCACACTCAAAGCGGCCAAAGGACTAACCCAACCCATCAGGCCCACTCTGCCTTGGCCCCTGACTGTGGAGCTTTACTGTACTGTGTGCTCACATCCTACCAGTCAGGCCCCCATGGCCATCCCAACACCCACATCCACTGTGTTCGGCCCTCCACCACACCGCCCTTGCCTGTCGCCGGGCTGGGTAGGAGTTACAGTGTCTGCTAGCAGCATCAACCCCAGCATCAGCTGCTCTCCATCCCTTCGCTCTCAGCTCCAGCTGCATACCCTGTTCCCTGCTTCATTAGGGAGAGAGAGACGGAGGGAGGGAGGAAAGGAGGGAGAGAGAGAGAGAAAGAGAGAGAGAGAGAGAGAGAGAGAGAGAGAGAGAACTCTCCACCCCAAGCACTAGTGCACACAGTCTTCCCAGTGTCCCCCTGCAGGCTGCTTTCCTGGAAAGGGAGGGATGCGCTTACTCAGGGCTCCCTGCACCTCAGAAATACAGGCTTCCCCCTAACGGAGTGCCTGGGAGGACAGGCAGGAATGTTCCAGCCAGCTATAACGAAGGGCGGCCATTTTAAATAGAGCTTCCTCGGGGGAATAGAAGGAATGTTCAGAGCTTCCCAAAAGCGTGTCTTCTATAAGCCGCCTGCCGCCAGGGCGTGCTGCCTAGACAGGCCAGGCGGGCTAAAAGCAGCTTGCTGGCCATGGACGTGGGGGGAGGGGGGAAACAAGTTGAAATGCAACCCACACCCAACTGCCATTTTGATTCTTGAAGAACCGTCAAAGCCAACACACACACACACACACACACACACACACACACACACAACGCCTTCCGTCCGCTCCTCAGACAGGAATACACACACCAGGGACACACCCTCTAAGGCTGCCATAACACCAAAAACGAACACACACCCAGATAACTGTAGGCCAGAGCTGTGAGACCCAAGGGGGAATGTGATTGCGTCCAGACAGGGTTCCTGGAGGTCAGAGTGATGTTTTAGGGAGAATTGAAGTTTGCTACGTACGGAGTTCATCATCTTCCAAAGTAAGAACCAAGCTCTTTCCCTGGAACAGGGGATGTCAAGGGCCCACTTTCCCCAGCACCCACCATCCTTTCCGAATGCTCCCTGCTTCCCCCAGGACCCGTCAGCACCCAAGGCTGCGGGTGGTTCCCTCCTCCCGCCTCCCTCAGTGGGGGCAGCCCTAGCTCAGCACCAGCAGGGATTCCTGCAGGCACCCCCGCCCTGCCCCACCCTGCAAGCAGGCCCTGGGGGAGGCTGGGAGAGGAGCTCCTAAGATGGTACTTACAGAGGTTTGTAAGTCTCTAGGCTGAGAAAGAAACATCTAAAGAAAGTAAAAATAGCCGTGAGTACTGAGCACACACCAGGCCTGTGCTGGACTGACAGCCATGCCCCTGCACCCCCATGACTTGGCTAGTTACTAGTAAAAGTTTGATGGCCATGTAAGTCACTGTCTGTGGAAAAACACTCGCAAGGATGAAAACCAACAGTCATAATTGTCCCGGGACAACAGGCATGACCTGGGGCTCTGGGCAAGGAGGACATATGCTGTTGTGTTTACCAGATCTCTCATCTCACTCTCTCATTTTTATAGGTGTCTGTGTACGAAGAGGTCTGCTTTACATGCTTTTTTGGGGTGGGGGTGGGGGCCTCTTTACTTACAACTGAATCTATTTTATTTCTCAAAATGTTATCTATCTTGGCTGTCCACTGAAATATCTTAGTACCTCAAATTTCCCATTCCCCTAATAATGAACAATAAGGGGGACATATGGAGTGACATGAAGAGAAGAGAGTTTGCTTTCTGGTTAGATATAATAAGTAGGAATACCCCAACGAGGTCATTGATTTCACTTCAACAAATGGTTGAAGGGAGCGAGGCATGGCCAGGCATTCTGCTGAGCACCAGGGGTCACCAGCCGGAACCAGCGGTATCTGCAACTTGACTCATGGGTATCCGTGTCCCACCTGAGAAAAGCTGGCTCCAAAGGTTTCCCAAAACGTCAAAGGAGTCTACAGTAATCAGTCCACAGGAACCACCTAGCACAGTGATTAAAAAGCAAACACCGATGAAACTGGTTTTGCTCAGAGGATAGAGCGTCGGCCTGCGGACTGAAAGGTCCCGGGTTTGATTCCAGTCAAGGGCATGTACCTCAGTTGCAGGCACATCCCCAGTAGGGGGCGTGCAGGAGGCAGCTGGTCAATGTTTATCTCTCATCAATGTTTCTAGCTCTCTATTCCTCTCTCTTCCTCTCTGTAAAAAAATCAATACAATATATTAAAAATAAAAAAAATTAAAAAATGCTAACACCTCTGCCCGTGGCAAACACAATGATTAGATCATCAGCATGTGCCTGTGGTGGAATTCCTATGTGGACAGCTATCATTAATTTCTCCTGCTCATTTGTCATTTCCTACTGCCTCACAGAATCGCCCTTCACAATCCACATGGAAACAAGCTCTGCAAAAATGATAGCCAATACTGCACAAGTCTTCAATTTCTTAACTAGAATTCAAGTTCACAGCTATTCCTGGTTACAGTGTGAGTTTGTATTGAATTGCATTTGGGTATTTCCCAGGCCCCTTAGCCCAAAATGCTATCAAGATACGTAACAAAATTGGTCCCTCTGGCCATTGCTCATCCACTTTATCCCTGATTTAGAAGATATTTAAATGCATATGCTTTCAACTTTAAAACGTTTTTTAGTGTGATTTTCTTACACATTTAAACCAGCTACTAAAACCCAAATACAGTTTCGAAAACAATTTCCCGAATGCCACATGTAACTGTCAAAAACAGCTTAAAACATGAGAAGGAGGACAAAGACCAAGCCTCCTGGGACCCAGAGCGTCTCACGTTCCCCACGAAGGTGCGGTGGGGCTGCGCGGTGAGCGCTCACCTGGCGCACAGGAGTCTCCCATTCCAGTAACTGCAATCTCCCTTCAAGTTCAACGGGGCCCAACTTACCCTCTGCTCACTCGGAAACACCACTTTCTGGGTTTAAAACTCACTGGGTGGGTACTGATCACATTAAGGTTGGCATTCCTCTTGTCAAACTTAAATGGATGATCTTGGATAAAAATGTTTGCCTCTCACAGTCAACCAAAATTGTCATCTTTCTAAAATCGTTAATAAGTAAGAACATGTCAGAAGTGAAATCAGATGGGAAAGAGAGCATAATCCTAGAATAACCCTAAATTTCATTTGTTTGAGTGTATGTTTTTCAACACTAGATCTCCGTGCTTTCACCTGCTCTGACAGTTTCAAAGCTGTGTCTGGTGGACAGATAAATGCTGAGCGCAGACCATAAAGATTCTGCTCCCGTAGGCCTCCCCCTGAGCTGGGACTCATGATGCAGACATGGATTCACTTTTCTCACCCCAAACTCTACAAATGTGAGGAGGAAACCTTAATATTTCTGAAGGGATCAAAGCACCCTATTTTAACTAGCAAGATAAAATAGTGTTTTAGGCAAACACAGGGAGCAAACTCTAAATCTGAAGTGACAGCATCCGTCTGAACACACAGGTCACGGCTCCGTGGCGAATGTCACATCACAGGCGGGGAAGGAAAAAAGATAAGCTCG